AAAATATTTGTGCCTTATTTTGCATTTGAATTTTGCCGGTATTTTAAATATGTTTAAATAAAACACAAATTTAATTAAAAGTATTTATAACTGAATTAAATAAACCTATTCTATGTCTTATGGCAAACATTTTCAAAATAATTTTCATTATTATCCGAGGTTTTGTAATTGGTAAAGATAACAATATCATACCGACTGCACATCATTTCGGAATAGAGATAATGGCCGTGAAAAATTCAGATATTGTTGAATTTACTATGTTTTACTCTGTTACTTTTGCAGTAAGTTTTAAGCAACTATTATTAAAATTTTTACTCTAAATCAAAGAGATTTATATTTGATGGCATAATATTGATTGTTCTGGTGTTAATCCGGGCCCTCATATGTTTTATTAAAAGTAATAATAGGCTCCAAAACATTAACCATTTCTATTGTTATAGTATGGCTGACGTGTAGTAAAGCCTTATCTCTATTACCGGCACTTTTTAAGTCTATAACAACTTAAATGATACAGTCAACTATCGATGCTGTCAACAGATTGGTTCCTGGGATTTGGTTGATAACATAGATTAGTTGACAACATAGAGATAATTTTAACATTAGGTCTATGTGGTAGGGATTTGGGATTTGGTTGATAACATAGAGTAGTTGACAGCATCGATAGTTGACAGCATCGATAGTTGACTGTACTTTTACTCTGTTACTTTTGCAGTAAGTTTTAAGCAACTATTATTAAAATTTTTACTCTAAATCAAAGAGATTTATATTTGATGGCATAATATTGATTGTTCTGGTGTTAATCCGGGCCCTCATATAAAACATTCATATTTTTAATTCTTATTGATTATAAGATTAGAAAAACAGATTTAATTGAAATAATTATTAAAATAAGACAAACAATAATCTCAAATAAAAATCAATTTTATTGGAAAGTATTACAAAAGAGCGTCATCTCTGGTGACAGGGAATGGTTCGGTGACCGGAAGAGTGTCACAGTTGGCAATCATCACATCCTTCTCCGGCTTATCCCTGCCGTCGGTTTTGGTTGACTCAACTTTTCTGATCACATCCTAAGGGATAGATTGCAATGTATGAGACCATAGGCTCACACATGTGTTCATACATACCATTCCTTTGATGACTTTGCCGAATATGACGTGACGGCCGTCGAGCCAAGTGGTCTTCTTGCATGTGATGAAGAATTGGGAACCATTGGTGTCTTTGCCCGCATTGGCCATCGATAGCCATCCGGCGCCGTAATGCTTGAGTTTGAAGTTTTCGTCGGCAAATTTGTTGCCATAAATACTATGACCACCGGTTCCGTCGCCGTTAGTAAAGTCACCGCCTTTTCAGACCACAAGACAATTGAATTAATGGCAACAATCAAGCGATCCATTGATACAAACCCTGAATCATGAAGTCGTTGATAACGCGATGGAAAATACTTCCCTTATATCCGACTAACTTTCCGTCGGTTTCCGGCGTTTCCTATCAATCAATACATTGATTATGTCTTCAGTAAAAACGATTCAATCAATTCATCAAAACCTTATGTTTAACACAGAGTTCGACAAAGTTTTTGACAGTTTTGGGAACCGTTTTGCCGAAGAGTCCGATCTCAACGCGTCCCACATCTTCGTCGCCAATCTTGATATCGAAATACACCTGAAGTACAGATAAATATCAATCAATTGTTCCCAAAAGTGATTGTCTCGTCATTTCATACAATGTCTGTAACTTTAGGTCCGTTTACTTTAGACTTGTCTACAGTTTCGCTATATATCGAAATACACCTGAAGTACAGATAAATATCAATCAATTGTTCCCAAAAGTGATTGTCTCGTCATTTCATACAATGTCTGTAACTTTAGGTCCGTTTGCTTTAGACTTGTCTACAGTTTCGCTACATTTGGCTATTAATACAAAACTTAGTAAAGTTAACTAACTTTTGTTTTGCCAAAGAGAAGAGTATTAACGATAATTATAATTAAGTATATTATTAGTGATTTAGTAGTTTTGATAACAGAAGAGCTGATAACAAACCAATTGTGTGCATCTCAACATGAATAGGTGTAGAGGTGTTGACAGTGTTTTTTGCAACTCAAATGCAAGCAATAAATGCTATATTTATTAATACATAATTAATTAATGCATTTAATTATTAGATTAATTAAAACGATTGCATTGAATGCGATGTGAAATGCAATTGTGATGTATTGTCCGCTACATTGACCACAAGTTGTCTCTCAAAGACTCGAAGAGATGCCGACAAACAAAAGTTTGACAGCCGGTAGACATCCCTATGGAATGACCGGAAATTTTTGGTCATTTAAAGAGCTATTTATTTTTTTTTAGAAATTTAATTATAAATAAATCTTTAATTCAAAACTTTACTCAAAACTTCACTTCACAACACACTTAACTGCACTTCACTCACCTTCACTATCGTCTTCTTCGCTAAACAAACAGGTTACTGTTCACCTAACCTAGCTGACAAACACAACAATCTCTGCCCGAGATGCCGACACTGGGCTTTCCGCCGCCGAGAAGTCAACCCTCTTCATGTTGCTGATGTAGGCGTGCTTAACGAAGTAGACGAGGTGTTTCAGAGACAATACCTGAGGACCAACTCATGGGAGACACGCATCGCCGCCAGTCAGGCCGTGGAGGCCATTGTGGCCAACGTTGCCATTTGGATGCCATCGCCCACAGCCGACGCAAAGCCGTGTCAAACGGATCCGCTCTCCGCTAATACCGTCGGAAGAATGACTTTCGATAGATATGATATCAATACTGTCATCAAATGTGGACACAATTTGTTGGCCTCTGAGGGCAAAGAGTTTGACGAATTGCCCGATAATAAGACGGATTCTTCGCTGGACCTGAAGGAGAAGATTGCGCTCCAAAGGCAGGCATTGAATCAGAAGTTAGGCTTAGATGTGATGAACCGATTGGGCATTCAATTGGACTCAAATGACTTCATATCAAACTCTGTGATTGGATCGACTGTTTGTGTTGTTAGAGACGGGCTCTACGGCTGTGACCCGAAAGGCGGCGGCTCTTCAGTTGGGAGAAGTACAACGACTACATCCGCACGAATTGCTTCATCTGCTCCACAAAGTCAGACAATACCTGAGGACCAACTCATGGGAGACTCGCATCGCCGCCAGTCAGGCCGTGGAGGCCATTGTGGCCAACGTTGCCATTTGGCTGCCATCGCCCACAGCCGACGCCAAGCCGTGTCAAACGGATCCGCTCTCCGCTAATACTGTCGGAAGAATGACTTTCGATAGATATGATATCAATACTGTCATCAAATGTGGACACAATTTGTTGGCCTCTGAGGGCAAAGAGTTTGACGAATTGCCCGATAATAAGACCGATTCTTCGCTGGACCTGAAGGAGAAGATTGCGCTCCAAAGGCAGGCATTGAATCAGAAGTTAGGCTTAGATGTGATGAACCGATTGGGCATTCAATTGGACTCAAATGACTTCATATCAAACTCTGATCTGACGGACGAACAAAAGCCTAATCCAGAAGCCATTGATTTGACACAAAATAAGCCACAATTGGATGAAATCATTACGAAAGCGACCGGAAGTTCAGTGAAACGAAAGGCCAATCGATTGAATCGAAACAAATCTGTGGACCAAAAGTGTGATGAAAACCATTCAAACAATGAATTGAAACGAATTAAAACTGAAAGAGAAGACTCCGATTGTGTTAACTCTAGTGATAGCAACACTTTTACGGACATAACTCAAGCGAATGAGTGGCCACTCGAGTCGTTTACTGAAGAGTTGCTCTCAGATCTATTCAGTGCCCTTTGGATCGTACGTCACGGCGCGGCCACCGCTTTGCGAGAGATTATTAGATTGCAGGGCAAATGTGGCGGAAGGTCTAACAGTGTTGCCAGTCATCTCTTGGATCAAATCAATCAGCAATGGCTCGAAGATGTGTCACTTCGGTTAATATCTGTGTTAGCTTTGGACAGATTCGGCGATTATGTGTCGGATCAAGTCGTGGCGCCCGTCAGAGAGACATGCGCTCAGACTTTAGGCTTAGTTTTGAATTTGTTGTCATCTGATGGCGTGAATAGTGTGCTCAAGATATTACTGGAATTACTCAAATCTAAGGAATGGGAGGCCAGACACGGAGGAATGCTTGGTCTTAAGTATCTATTGGCCATCAGACAAGACATGACGTGCCAATTGATTCCCGTAGTCTTTCAACCCATTTTTGATGGTCTTAAAGATAATGTGGACGATGTGTCAGCTGTTGCTGCGGCCGCTTTGGTTCCCATTAAAGACGTGTTGATGAAAACGCTTCCCGAGAAAGTGCCGGTTGTGGTCAACTACTTATGGGACGCGCTTCAAGATCTGGACGATTTGAGTTCATCCACTGGTGATCTCCTGATGCTATTGTCGTCTTTATTAGTATTCAATTCTGACTCCAATTCAACCCAGAATTTGGTTGAATTGGTTCCCCGTTTGTGGCCTTTTCTGAGTCATGCTTTGAGTTCTGTCCGAAAATGTGTTTTGGAAGCGCTTCTCATTCTATGCTCGAAGACATCACTTGAATGGTTAACTGTTCCGCTTCTCTCCGACGCTCTCAGACTTCTCTATCAAAGATGTCTTCTCGAGAATAATTTAGATATTTTGCAGAATTTATATCAAGTTTGGTATGAATTCATAACAAAGTCGAGTATTGAGAATGTGTTGCAATCGAGTTGTCAGCATTTGAGCGGTTGGTTCTGCCTTATGATGCATCCATCGAAGATACCCATCGATGCCTCCACTTCCCAATCGTGGCTTCAAATGAAACAATTCTCTCATTCGGAGCAAAACACTGGCACTAAATCACGTTATATTAAATATGATAACCAAACAGTTAGGGAACAGCACTTTATCGGAGGCACTGAATCTTTGGCTGAAAGCACTGAATACAGGGAAAGATCTGTCATCAGAGCCAGACATCAAGCGGCGAAGTTCATCGGATTTCTGGCATTTTTTGTTACAAAACCTGTATATTTGACAACTCCTTCGGCGATGGAATCGTTTGCCAACATTTTATTATTTCATTTGAACTCCAAGTCCGCGATGCAGAAGATGTGCATCGCATGGGTTGTGAAGCAATGGGCCGAAGCGACCAATGAGTTGACAACAGATAATGACTCGAAACAGTGTTTACCACAATCGGTGACCGATAAGTGCTTAGAATGCCTTCAAGAAGTGGTTTATTTCGATGAAATTTCATCCAATTTCACGCGATTACAACTCGAAACACGTGATTACGTCTCTCTATTGAAAACACACAGCTTTCCAATTAATGAAAACATTTACAAACCCGGAGTCGTCTATACGTTCGACCAAATATACTCTTTAGCCGCTTCTGTCACCACAAACACAGAACACAAGACAAAAGGCAAGACATACGAAATGCTGGAAGAGAGAGCCAAAGGCCTCACTAAAACGACGACTCAGATATCCAAATATCAAACATCTTTGTTAACGTGTGTCATGTCTTCAATAGCCGGCGCTCTCATAGCGTGGAAAGAATTGCCAGAAAAGTTGAATCCAGTCGTTAGACCTCTTATGGACTCAATTAAGTCCGAAGAGAACGAACAGCTCCAGAGCGAGTCAGCCATGAGTTTAGTCCGTTTGTTAGGAATATGTTGCGAACGGAGCGCCGAGAGTAGTGTCTCTCCTGTGCCTAAAATTGTTAAAAATTTAATCACTTATTTATGTTCTGACCGTAACTTTACGCCAGAAGTGACACCAATTGAATCCGTGGACACAAACTCGACTCAAGAAGCAAAACAGTCGGGAATATTGAGTTTGGATAATATGCAGAAATACGCCGAAAAGATGTCTTTCAAACGATCTAATTCTGTAAACTCCACGAAGAAAGTGAAGACCGAAGTGTCCACACCTGTTGAGGAACACCTGTCGCCCAATCTTATCGACCAAAACGATGAGCAAAACCAAGTGTTGAGACGGGGAGCGAGTCTCGCACTGACCGAAATTGCCAAATATTTCGGACCTCATATACCGTCGCGAATGTCTCATCTTTGGGAACAAATCACACTAATTATGACATACTCTCAGCTCTCGAAAGAGAAATGTTTGAATTTAAATGAAGCCAAATATTTAATTCAATGCTTACAAGTGCTCGAAACGATTGGCTCTCATTTGGACCAACAATTACACTCGCATTTGAAACATTTACTCACGTTTCTATGTTATTCACTCGAAAGCCCATTCATAGCAATACGACACATGTCTGCGCGTTGTATCGGAAGGTTAAGTCAAGTGATCAGAAGTGATACAATGGACGTACTTTTGTCCACAATTCTAGAACTGTTAGAAATGTCTGAATCAGACATTAAAAGACAGGGAGCTATAGAAGCGGTGTATTGTGTGATCGATAGTTTGGGACTTAATATCGTTCCCTATATTGTACTCCTAATAGTGCCGATGTTGGGCCGTATGAGTGATCACAACGATTGTGTGCGCCTTTTGGCCACTCATTGTTTCGCCCAATTGGTCCAATTGATGCCACTCGACAACGACAATAACGACAAAAGCCATAACAACCACATTAATGGCGAACTCTTGCAGAGGAAGGAAACTGAGCGACACTTTTTGGAACAGTTGATGAATATGAATAAGTTAGACGATTACAAGATTCCCATTGAAGTGAAGGCTGAGCTGAGGACATACCAACAAAGTGGTGTCAATTGGTTAGCATTTCTCAGTAAATACAAACTCCACGGCATTGTTGCCGACGAAATGGGTTTAGGAAAGACATTACAAACTATTTGTATTCTTGCTTCCGATCACTACTACCAACTAAATCGTGTTAAAAAGTCATCCGTTGATTGCAAGCCTTTGCCGTCGATAGTGATATGTCCGCCAACACTAACGGGTCATTGGCTCTACGAAGTGGACAAGTTTGTCAACACTGAGCACTTGTGTCCACTCCATTACACGGGCCCTCCAAACGAACGAATCAAACTTAGAAAGAAGATTAAACGAAGTGATGAGAAACTGGTTTACAATCTAGTGATCGCTTCTTATGATATCGTTCGCAATGATATTGAGTTCTTTTCATCGATTCACTGGAATTACTGTGTCTTAGATGAGGGACATATCATAAAGAATGGTAAAACCAAACTCTCGAAAGCTATTAAGTCATTGCCAGCCAATCATCGTCTCATCTTAACGGGAACTCCCATTCAAAACAATGTATTGGAATTGTGGTCATTGTTTGACTTTTTAATGCCCGGTTTTTTAGGCACCGAAAGGCAATTCATGGCCCGATATTCTCGTCCTATTCTTCAAAGTCGCGACGCAAAGTCTTCCTCCAAAGAACAAGAGGCCGGTGTTTTAGCCATGGAATCACTTCATCGACAAGTTTTGCCTTTTATTTTGCGTCGAATGAAAGAAGACGTGTTGAAAGACTTGCCGCCGAAGATAATGCAAGACTATTACTGCGAATTGAGTCCATTACAGTTCAAACTATACGAAGATTTCGCCAAAAGCAAAGCCAGACATACTTTACAGGAAACTATTGTTTCTAAAAACCCAACAAACAGTGAACAGAAAGCGAACGCTCCGTCAACTCATATATTCCAAGCGCTTCAGTATTTGCGTAAAGTCTGTAATCACCCGAAGCTTGTGTTGACCACAGCTCACCCCCAATACGACTCCATCAGTGCTCAACTAAAACAAGAGAAAACATCCCTCTCTGACATCAGTCACGCCGCAAAACTCTGTGCTTTAAGACAATTATTACTCGATTGTGGAATTGGCACTCAAAGTACGGTTTCTGTTATTAATGGCTCCGAACCGGTAGTCAATCAACACAGAGCTCTCGTATTCTGTCAGTTGAAGAGTATGTTAGATATCGTTGAAAACGACTTATTCAGAGCACATATGCCTTCCGTCACGTATTTGCGTTTAGACGGAAACATCCCTCCAATTGCTCGGCACTCAGTTGTTCATCGATTTAATAACGACCCCTCCATTGATGTCTTATTGCTTACCACTCAAGTAATCAATTAATTAACGAAATATTTATTTATTTCTAATAAATTGATTACTGGAATACTATAGGTTGGAGGACTGGGACTGAACCTAACGGGTGCGGACACTGTTATATTCGTTGAACACGACTGGAATCCGATGAAAGACTTGCAGGCAATGGATAGGGCGCACAGAATAGGCCAGAAGAAAGTTGTCAATGTTTATCGGTATGAATGCATTATTACTCTATTTTTATGAATCAATTATAATAACAATTTGATTCCAGACTCATCACAACCGGCACTTTGGAAGAGAAGATAATGGGTTTACAAAAGTTTAAGTTAACGATTGCTAATACAGTGATCAGTAGTGATAATTCCAATCTGCAGACAATGGCAACGGACCAACTCCTGGATCTCTTCAGTTTAGGAAACGCTAAGAGCGACACAACGAACAAAGCCAACAATAGTAACAGCTCTGGCACTGGAATGAAGAATATTCTGGAAAATCTTCCCGATCTCTGGGACTCTCAACAATACGACTCGGAATACGATTTGACAAATTTCATCAAATCCTTGAAATCTTAATTATTATTTCACTCCTATTTTCACTCTATTTTATCATTTTCTTTATTATTAAATTTTCAGTTCAATTGATTCTATAAATTGTATAAAGTCTTGAATAATTAGTTTATTGAATTCAGTGACAGAGATGTGCATTATTTGTAAGACTTTTGTAAGAATTTTCAATAAAATATACGACAATTGTTATCGATTACGGTAAAAACAAGTTGGAAATTTGTGTACCTTTTGAATGATACTGTATTAGCATTTAATTAATGCAATTAAAATACAAAACATTGCGAAAACAACAGAATAACGGTTTAACTAATAAAATGGATGGTTATTCCACAATGTAAGATTTGATTTAATGGTAATTTTAATAAATACTTGGTTTATGTTTTTCATCAAATTTTTATTCAAATTGTATGGAAATTAAAAGAATATACAAAATTAGTGCTCAGTATTTGTTATATGAAATAAGTTTTGTGAAAAATTATATAAAAGTTTGTTTATAGTGTAAATAGAAGTAAGAATTAAGATCAGTAATAAATAATCAGTAATATAAAGAATAATAATAATGTATGAAAGCGCAGAATAATAATATATTGTGTGTAAATCAACATTAGACTAGTTTTGTCTCTAAATGCGTTATAATTTTGAATTGATTAAAAATTTCATAATTTATTTACAATGGAAAACATTTTGTAAAATTTATAAATTTTTATATAAAATATATGAAACGCTTAAACAATCTGACAAATAATGTATGATTTGTTGTTTTTATACAAAAAATATTTTTATATATCACTATCAAAATATAAAATACTTTTAATATTTTAATTATAACATATAATTTATATAATTTTTCTCATTTAAATTTAAGTATATTTTAAATGACAATAATTTTAATGTTTTTTACATATAAATTTACATTAAAATACATGATATAATATAATAATTTGTGAATAACCATGATAAATTTAATTAATGTATACTATGTATAGATTTATATTTAAAAATATTTTTATAGATATGTTTCTATCACTGGTTGAGTGCTTTGGTTATTGTTTTGAGATCTATTTTGACTAAAATATTTGTGTTTTAATATTTAAATACTATTTTTGGTAATTATTTATTAAATATTTTATATTTTTGGTATAATTTGATAACAAAATATGATATTAACTCAATTTATAAAATCTTTTAATATCCAGGATTTAAAAAATAATTTTGGAATTAAATAAAAGATTTGCAGTAATTTTTGCTAAAACTTTTTGATACCTTAAAATTAGCTGTATTTACAATGTTTGTAAATTAATAAAACTTTTAAACAAATTGTTATTTAAAAGTTATGCTATAAATGCGATGATTATTGAAAATATAGATTTTGTCCATCTTTTTGTTTAATTTTAACGTTCATATTATTGTCAATGAATTGAATATCAGTGCAAATATTTACTTCAATTTTAGTGTAATTTTGTATATTTTGTTCATAATTTGTGGTGTCTTTGGGCACAAACTGTTGGACTAATGCTGTTCTCGAGTTAACAATAGACTCGATTTCGTTGACACAACTTTTAATACGACTCTATAAACCAATAATAAAAAATTGTTATAAATTAATGTAATAATAAATATTTTCAAATTAATTTCTTACAGAATCGATGCCAAGAATTGTTGCCAACGAAGAGACAAATAAGTCGAAACTTTTGCTTTGCTTATGTATGGACTGTAAGCCATGGACTGCAGTGGCAATACTCGCCGCCGCTATCAATGATGGCAATTGACACGAAAACTGAAGCTCTAATCAAATAAACATAAAATACAAATATTAATCTTTGGGATGAGGTTTAAGTAATATATTGTATGTATAATCTATAACTTGAATTAATGTATTGGAATTTTATGTTTTTTTATAATCAAATGAAGCATAAGATTACAGTTATTCTCACTGAACTTCCTTTGCATCGAAACAATTGTGGAGAGAGAGAGAGAGAGAGAGAGAGAGAGAGAGAGAGATGTGAGGGAACGCTTACAATAGAAGGGATGGAGAGATTGGCAGCGCTTTTACTTTTTTTAGACTCAATGATAAAAGAGTCTCAATAATAGTATAGTTGTGTATAAGAGTCACACTTTCGTGCTTTAGTGGTTCAACAGCTGCTCCGGCGGTCGCTCTCTAGTCTGGCATTGGATCTAATATTTGGCTTAATATTCGCTTCAATTCGTATTCCTATTCTGCGGGACAACACCTGCGGAACTCCACTACTGTTTTCAACGCTTGTAACCAAAGTAACAAAGCGTTGCTTTAAAGCAAACATTCATAACACTAAAGGCATCCCTCGTTTGCATCAATTGGTTAAATGCAGTGTTTTTTATGTCCACAACCAGTCATACAGTGTTTGACCGAAAATATGTTATTTTAAATTCAATGCATTGTTAGTCGAATTAACTCAAACTTAAAGCTCTAATTTAAACACCGGTAACAAAATTTATCATTTTCATTCACAAATATTACAACATGACTGTTTTTTAGCAATATGCTCATTAACCTGGCAACATTTGAGCAATGTCAAATGTGTTGCAAATATAAATGCAATATTTTAATTATCGTTATCGTCATAATGTTTTTAAATATAGTAACTAATTGAATGATATTAACTAAATATATACACAGAGAATCATTAAGAGTATGAATTAATGTGTAAACAATTATATAAATACGGATTTATGTGTTATTTGTTTATATAGACAATTGCATTAGAGTATGACCATGGCTATTTGTGTGAATATATGTCAGCTGAATTCAGAATATGTCTCAATAACTTTAATTTATAAATGCATTAAAAAGTATAGCATTACTGTACAGAATAGTTAGTTTACTGTTATATAAGAATATAACAAATAATTGATTAACAAAGTCATCAATAATATCGGTTGCCGTTCAGTAACAGTAAAATTGTTGTTCGTTTCAACATAAGTGGTGTTTGAATCCCTCTGTTTGTACCCCTCATTCAGTCTAAGGTATAATTTATATGTTTTGAATATTAGATACCATTTGTTTATTTGAGTGAAAATAACAGTAATTAGTGATAAGAGATCCACAAAATGCGTGTCAAACATGTATTTCCTCCACATTTGCATCTTTACAGCAAATCATATCACGATTTTGATAATAGTATTAATTAATGTTTTTCAATAACAATAATTGCTTCAATATTCTCTTCAAACTTCACATATAGACGTGAATCTTTAAAACTTCAATTGAAATCATAATGTTTTGCGTTAAGAATTAATACAAATTTCACTTCAAAGGGAAGTAAAAATAAGTTTTGTTTAATCACATGAATATAAACATTAGTAGAGAATTTTTACTGTACAGAATAGTTAGTTTACTGTTATATAAGAATATAACAAATAATTGATTAACAAAGTCATCAATAATATCGGTTGCCGTTCAGTAACAGTAAAATTGTTGTTCGTTTCAACATAAGTGGTTTGAATCCCTCTGTTTGTACCCCTCATTCAGTCTAAGGTATAATTTATATGTTTTGAATATTATATACCATTTGTTTATTTGAGTGAAAATAACAGTAATTAGTGATAAGAGATCCACAAAATGCGTGTCAAACATGTATTTCCTCCACATTTGCATCTTTACAGCAAATCATATCACGATTTTTATAATAGTATTAATTAATGTTTTTCAATAACAATAATTGTTTCAATATTCTCTTCAAACTTTACACAAAGGCGTGAATCTTTAAAACTTCAATTGAAATCATAATGTTTTGCGTTAAGAATTAATACAAATTTCACTTCAAAGGGAAGTAAAAATAAGTTTTGTTTAATCACATGAATATAAACATTAGTAGAGAATTGTTTCAATAAAACGAGTATATATTTCATTTGAAATCATAATAAGCTATTTGTTGCATATGTTGTGAATTTAATTAAACATTATTATACATGTATATATGTATGAGACAAATACAGTTACAATGATAGAGATAATAGTAGGAGCAGATGGTTGGGTGCAAAATATTGGTGCAAAACTACTGTTCATGTTGTCGTCTATTCATTCATGACTACTCCTCATACCATACAATAATATTAATATTATTAATGGTTTTCATATCTATTATTAAACAAAGAGATGAAAAGATGCCTTCCGTTACTCAAATATCAGATGTGCTTTAGTTTCAAGATATTCAGCGATAATTAACCTATAAATTAATGCATCAAAATGAATGGCATAGAGGGGTAGTTGCAAAAAAACACTCATTTAGTATACAAATTCTTGAAACTTTTATAAACTGAAAATATTTTGAGTATATTTTTAGCTCAAAATTGTAAATATTTGTTCAAATCATTGAATATAATTAAATTCAATAAACATTTTTGATGGCATTTTTAATGAATACAACAAAATCGAAATTTTAATTTAAAATACAAATTCATTCGTATATTTTAAGTTTGAATGTAAGGCTTGTCTGCAGACCAAACAAAGGAAAAGGAGAAGGGATGGAGGGATGGGATGGGTTGCCGTCAAACACATACATAGAAAGAAAGAGAGGGGAGAGAGAGAACACCCATTTAAAGGTCTATATAATGCCGGCTTTAAGAAAGGTTTCTTGTATTAGGAGAGCCCCGGGTGTTGTTCCTGAGTTTGAGGATCTATTGGGAGAGCTCTGTGTTGTATAAGTGAAGTGTCGGTATTTCAAAATCTCATATCAATTTAATTTTTTTTAAATAAAATTTTCAAACTAAAAATGTAGCTAAATTTAACATCATAGTAATTTGTATAGCACATAAAAATTTGTCTGATGTCGCTGATTCTATAAGATTATAAATATTCTATAAGAAACATGTATATTCTTGACGTTAAATTATAACATTTCAATGTAAAAAGGGGGCAAATGTATTTCATATATTTTAAAATTCAGTTTACAATTAACAATTACTAAATATTATAACTTTAATAAAATTTAGTTTGGTCATTTGGTTTTTATATAATATTGATATTTTGGATAATTTAATTTATAATATTTAAGGATATAATCACAACATATAACTAACGGTTCATTTAAATAGCAAATATCATGTATGAAAATCTTGTGCAAGAATTTTAATACTAAAGACATTATGAGAGTGGGGGCCAAACATCTGGATCTGGATTTCAGGCGATTTCATTGATATAAATTTGTGTCGTTTAATATCAGCTGCTGTTTGGCTTACATTCAATTCATTGACAGTTAATATTGAGTATAATTTTGATGTTATGTTAGGCAATACTCGAGGAGTCGCACGTCTGACGCGTGCCGTCCGCTAACTTATGTTATTTATATGAATACATCAATTGCTTTACTATTAAAGTTTTGGCCATTTCTATCCTAAACTATAAGTATTATAGTTATAGCTGTAGTGTTATGCATAATAATTGTGAGCTTTCATATCGAGGGGAGAGAGCGATGGGGGAGAAGTAGAGCGACAGACAGGAGGGCAGAGGGGGAGAGAGGAGATCACCTGGACATCAGACATGAGACATAATTGCGATACTGTTTGGTTGTATAGGAATGGGATGTCGAATGGGATGGTGAAGGGGAGCACGAGTTCTATAGTGGGATCGGAGGCTCAGCACAAGCAGAACATAGGCAGAGAGCAGAGCACAGGCAGAGCAGAGGCACGCGACACAATAGTCTCACTATTTTCTCCATCCATTGTTCAAACAGAGCATTGAATTTATTGTAATTTTTACCGTATGTTGTGTTGAGTCACTATTAAAGCACTTAAAACATCAAACTTTCACTGAACCCAAAGACCAACGAACCCGAACTCAGGCCTCAAACAGCACTAAACACCCAAACAATTTGATACCTCAGACGAAAGGGTGAACTGATATATAGATTCTCTACAATTCATGACATTTCACAATATGTTTTACGTCTGGTTTTACTCTTTTTGTCTATAACTGTATATATTCTTCCCTCATATATATTATATACTGCTATTAGCAATAGATTCAAACATACATTCAATACACATATTATCTTATATTCAATTATAATTGTTTACATTTGATTCACTAAAACATATTACCGGCACTATTACTATGACTTTATGTTTCATTGAACTTTTTCTAATTATTTCAGTTAGTTATTACATTCAAACTATATAGTGATAACTGTAAGCTAATATTGTAAATATAAAGTTGCTAAAATTGCTTTATATATTATTCCTTATATTTTCATAATTTTAGAAATTTAAGTAAACCTATCCTTAAATTTGTATTATTATTTGTTTTACTAAAAAATATTAGTGTAAAGTATCGATTCATTTTACAATTCATTGCAAATTCATTTATTGGGAAATGAAAATGCAAATTGAAACTCTTATATAATTTATATATACCTGTAGTATTGTAAATATTATATTCAGAATATATCGTATCATTCATGCATATATAACAAGGTAAAAATAAATAATAGATAAATAAGGAAAACATACATAACATGAAGAGGTGTTTCATTAATTTGAGACTTTTCCGAACTATAAATAATAACATTTAAGATAACAAAACTTCTCACCATTTCATGGGAAGTTTGTTTAGAGATTTTTATATTAAACAAGAATGATATGCAATAACTGGTTAATGCCTTCAATTATCAACTTATAATTGCATAAATGAGAACAAAATAATGTAAGACTATTTCAATATCACTATATTATCAGTTAAATTCATTTAAAGTCATTCTTAAAAACAAAGCATAAGTTTTATATGAAGTGTGTTTTACGTAACATTGTTTATGATCCTTATCTATAAACCAATGTATGACTTGTTTTGTTGATTGAAGTAAAATGTTATGTATTTATATTGTAATATCATATTATGTTTTTAATATTGTATAATTTAACACTAATTCTCAATTCGAATTTATTTTAATTCGTTCATGATCAAATTTCATTATAAAAATACTATTAATTGTTAACATGATGTACTTGTTTATTTATGAAACTAAATATCTTATTATATAATAATAAATAAATAAAATATAAGTATTATTTATTTATTATAATGTAATTTAATACTTGTTAATTTGTATGTTAATTGTGTTACTAATTGGTTTGCTTTGGTAGTAATTATATGATCATTAATTCATTTAACGTTTTAATATTACATTAAATATCTTTAGTTTTTGAAACATTAATGATAAGAGAAATATTAAGGAATAGAGACTTACCAGTAGTGCAAAGAGCGATAAAAGTAGAGGAATGTCTTCTAATTAATGATTCCATATATTCGTGTGAATTATTGCTCTGTTTTGGACTAATTTCTGGGATTCTGACTAACAAATGGTCCAAATAATCAGTGGCCACAACTGTTGATACATCCCATTGTAGTCTTCTTAGCACTAATAACTCCCAACCCTTAAAACAATAGTAAAAAATGATGTTAAGTGTCTCTATTGTTTCCAATTGTATCTTATTTTTAGTAACAATTAAACAAAAAATTGACAATTTTTCCAAAACAATAACTTTTATATAAATTATATAAAATGTAACTATTTTATAAAAAACATCAAAATGGATAGTATTGTTAATTGTTTACAAATACTTACAATAATCTCTTCAACACTCACTGAATAATCAGTAAAATAACTCAAGACGTGAGGGTCCAGTATCTGACACTGTCTTAGTTTGGATGCTATGAGAAGACAGACCACACCAACCAATTGTAACTGATTTTTGCGTATATCAGTGCCGACCAAAAAGCGGTCCAAAAAATTCATCGCAACCGGAAATACCACTTCTTCGCAATTGGTTTCCTCGCAAACCTTTTAATGAATTTTTTTATTTTTTTATTAATTTTCGGTTCAAAAACTTTTTCAAACTTTTTTCAAACTTTTTCAAACTTTTTTCAAATTTATTTCAAACTTATAAAATGTTATAATAAAATCTAAACACAAAAAATATATTGTAATTCTGTTTTGTAAATAAATGTGAAATTAATAACCAAGTAGTAATAATTAGAATAATGTAAGATTAAATACCTCAAGCATCCAATTTGCCAATTCTTTGCGCATATAGGGCTCGACTTCACTTTGGGTACATTTATACGATTCGAGAACTCCTTTGGGAACGTAATGTTCTTCGGTTTGAAGTAATTGTTCGAGTATTCGGTCATCACTTAGAATGTTGTCATCAAATGCTGAATAAGTTATGGAAAATGTATTTTCATTTTTCTCCGGAATTACAATTTGGATCAATTCGGGTGAAGATTCTCCACAAACGAGTTCCATATTTATATATTTAACTTATTTTTTAAACACTGTTTAAAATGTTTGGTAAAATGACTTTAAATTTACACAATACTGACTATACTATGGTATTAGAAGTTATACTACGGTATGTGAAAATCGGTTCATTCATTGAACGCAACTTCTGTTCACTGAAAATGTTGTGATAAAAGAATATTTGCTTTTATAGTGAATAACACAATAGAGAGACGGAGTGGTCGTGACGTTAGCGTCAGAATCGGCTGGCATTGGATGGCATGCCTTCGCACGGCATTGGATTCCAGTCCCATATATTTGCCAACATGTGGTAGAAATATATATATATAAGGTATTTAAATGCATAGCACTTTCATTAGACGAGTGGCAGTTTTGTGTGATATCTCCGATAACATAAAGTCATTACAGTCTATGACCTGCTCTTCACTATATGCTTAAGAGAGGCACCAAATGATTGATTCCCACGTGAATTGTAACTGATTTGTCAGATGTATGCCTTTTATTTCACTTAATTGTCATTTGGTCACCAATTGTTTGCATCTAACAAATTGAAACATTTTCAACAATATGAGCCTAGAGCTGTTCATATGGTTTAATACAATAACTTATGCACAATATATTATTTTCTTCGAAATATAAGTTTTTGTAAATTTATATATTAAAGTATTAAACATTAAAACATAAGTATAAAACATTTAAGTCTAGCATTTGTTGTATTAATCAGAAAATATTGAATGTTAACATTAAGTTTGATGTTTAGTTCCTTAAATAAAAGGCGCTTTCCTTTGACAAAATCATTGATAACTAATCAATGAATTAATTCAAAAGTTAATAATATATAACTCTTCAATATTTGCGTGAACTTAACCTATAGTACACTTAACATAACATTTTCTTGTATGGCAACATATTATGTGATACTGTATTTGTAAATTATGTAAACGTCTAAATCAGTGATAATTATGACAATATAAGGTTAAATATTTGCATTTAAGAATTTTCCAAGTTTATAGTTTTAATTATATATTTGTAAGTATTATTTTTATCGTGTTTATATTGTTTATTAATTTTCTTAATTTTGATGTAAAAATAAATAATAAAATTCTTTCTTTCAGTCATATACCGATCCTTTCTTTATTAAACAATACATTAGCTCTTATCTCATGACATACTCGTTATATTGTATAATTCATAGCGTATTATCGTTTAGAAAACTATGAAATTAATTATCGGCTATAAATCAAATGAAAATATTAAGGGAAATATTCACCAATTAATAGCATAAAAGATAAATTATGTATAAGTTATGTATAAGTTTTGGCAAAGTTTGCAAAGGATTTGTGCTTCACTGAATATCTCCAACAGTGGACATCTCCCACATCTCCCTCTCTTCTTCACATCCCTCACCGCAACCCCAAACCAAACCCCAAACCAAACCTCCAATTAATGACTGCTTCGAGTATGCAATTCATGAAATCAAACAATAATTTGTTTGTTTCCCAAAAATCAGATTTAAAAGAATATTAATAATACAGGAGTTGTGTTGAGATTTTCACTAATTGGTGAGAAATCATCTGCACTTAAAAGCTATGGTCGACTCAACTGATTGTCTGTCCCTTCCCTTTGTGCTGAGCTTTATATTCAATGTCCGCTATTTTTGCTAATAATTATTTTTAAAGTGACTTTTTTTGCCAATTAATTCAATAGATGTGCTGTTATTTTGTGACTTCCAGTTATTAAAACCAAGTTTAACTGTCAATGAATTGAATGTAAGCCAAACAGCAGCTGATATTAAACGACACAAATTTATATCAATGAAATCGCCTGAAATCCAGATCCAGATGTTTGGCCCCCACTCTCATAATGTCTTTAGTATTGAAATTCTTGCACAAGATTTTCATACATGATATTTGCTATTTAAATGAACCGTTAGTTATATGTTGTAATTATATCCTTAAATATTATAAATTAAATTATCCCAAATATCAATATTATATAAAAACCAAATGACCAAGACCAAATTTTATATAAGTTATAATATTTAGTAATTGTTAATTGTAAACTGAATTTTAAAATATATGAAATAGATTTGACCCCTTTTTACATTTCAATATTATAATTTAATGTAAAGAATATACATGTTTCTTTTAGAATATTTATAATCTTATAGAATGAGCGACAGCATACAAATTTTTATGTGCTATATAAATTACTATGATGTTAAATTTAGCTACATTTTTAGTTTGAAAATTTTATTTTTAAAAAATTAAATTGATATGAGATTTTGAAATACCGACACTTCACTTATAGCTCTCCCAATAGATCCTCAAACTCAGGAACAACACCCGGGGTTCTCCTAATACAAGAAACCTTTCTTAAAGCCGGTATTATATAGACCTTTAAATGGGTGTTCTCTCTCTCCCCTCTCTTTCTTTCTATGTATGTGTTTGACGGCAACCCATCCCATCCCTCCATCCCTTCTCCTTTTCCTTTGTTGGTCTGCAGACAAGCCTTACATTCAAACTTAAAATATACGAATGAATTTGTATTTTAAATTAAAATTTCGATTTTGTTGTATTCATTAAAAATGCCATCAAAAATGTTTATTGAATTTAATTATA